GACAGAGGGATGCAGTCTAGACACACCCTAGGGTTCTCACTGCAGGATCTTCATGGGAAAGTTTTATCAGTAATAATCTATTATCCAGATGCTAAGGATTCCCTGTCATCTGTGCAACATCCAACACCCAGTCACAGCCGGGAACCACTAGAGAAATGTCTTCTCCATGGGTTACAGAGTGGAATACAAGAGCTCATAGCATCAGTGTGTTTTGTGAGCACTGAGCAGCTATATCGCACCAGGCAATATCTGAGATCTACTTCCCTTCTCGGGTTGCTTCTGAGCTCCTAGCTGTAAAGCAAATAGCTTGGCAAAGATTTTCTCTTAGAGGAAGCTGCTCTTACGTGAGAAGAGCTACTAATATATTTAGGGTAGAAGAAACTTGTTAATAAGCATTATGAATAGCACCTTATTAATGGTTTAATTTTGCTGTCATGTCTCTATTATTTCTGTGCCACTTGGTAATAATTTTTGTGTCTATCTGGAAATCTTCCATCATCACTATAGCTGGGCCCACACTACATATTGTACAGATCCTTAAAGTTATAGTGCAGGTGGTTATGCTGTTTCATTAATGTGGCAATGAATGTTTTCTGTTTCTTACTATAAACTCATTTACAAAAAAAAAAATCAAAAATGCATTTTGACAGAGTGGACATTAAAGGAAGTAATGTGCAGACATGCACACTGCATGGTGACATCATTGTATTTACCCAAAACATAAGGATCCAAGATAAAGTACGGTGTTCGAATGAAAGAAATATATAAATCCCTCTCTAGTGAAGCAATATACTATTCCCCAGTTGAGTATTAGGTATACTTGACACTGTCTGGAGTGACTCATGACAGTATGCACCAATCCTAGGCTTGAATTAAGGCATTAAGTGGTTGTTGCATTACAAAGCACATTTCTCCTGCCTTTAACATCTGCATTTCCACATCAAAATCTATGTATGGGACACTTCCAGCCCATTTAATTAGCCCCATTAACATGGGTTCTACAATTGACAGGTACTTCTGCTGTTATTTTTATCTTGGTTTCTGTTATTTCTACTTCAGTTCACCTGAAGAAGTGGGTTTTTCCCACCAAAAAGCATGATTTTATAAAGGTTTGCGTGTCTTTAAATTCCCACAGAACTACTCATTTTTTAAGTTATAGACTAACACGGCTACCCCGCTGTGATTTTTCTACCCCAGGGCAGACTGTCAAAAAGCAGGGCAAATACCCCACTCTGGTGGTATGTTCTATAATTAGATTTCATCACCCCAGTAATAAATAAGGGTATGTCTACACTACCCTGCTAGTTCGAACTAGCAGGGTAATGTAGGCATACCGCACTTGCAAATGAAGCCCGGGATTTGAATTTCCTGAGCTTCATTTGCATAAGCGGGGAGCCACCATTTTTAAATCCCCGCTGGTTCGAACCCCGTGCAGCGCGGCTACAAGGGGCTCAAACTAGGTAGTTCGAACTAGGAGGGTAGTGTAGACATACCCTAAGAGTTCCAAAAGCATTAGAATAGTTTTATAATGGAGTCACAGTCAGTCTCACTCCAGTCTATCTTGTCACGCAGCCAGGCTGGACTGTATCATAATGGTCACCAAAGATCATAAATATTCCATTTGCTCCCAGTCTCTTACCCCAAGTGAATCTATACCTTAGCTCTAGGGTTGCACATTTTGGTTAGATATATTGCTGGAGGTTTCATCATGTGACATACTTGTTAATTAAAGGTTAGTTTTTAATTCCTGAAGATCCCAGACAATTCTGGAGGGTTGGCAACCCTACTTAGCTCTCCCACCAAAGCCAACTCTGGTAGCCGATCTCCAGAATACACCCCTAACCGTTCATTAACTAGGAAAAGCTAAGAGTTGTTTACAGATTAAACAAGCAGGCCTATGTACCCAAACGAGTTTCTGTCATTCAGATGGTGACAGAATTATAGTACTTGGTCAATTCATAATGTCTGCAGAGACTAATCCCTGGCCATCAGCACGAGGATCTCTTTGCTTATGTTTAGGGATCTTTGCCTCTCAGAGGGTATGTCTACACTGCCACCCTAGTTCGAACTAGGGTGACTAATATAGTCATTCAAACTTGCAAATGAAGCCCGGGATTTAAATCTTTATTTATTTGCATGTTCCTGGGTGCCACCATTTTTAAATGCCCCATAGTTCAAACTACCTGCCCACGGCTACACGCAGCACAGGCTAGGTAGTTCGAATTAAGGCTCCTAATTTGAACTACCGTTATTCCTCATTGCAGGAGGAGTAATGGTAGTTTGAATTAGGAGCTTTAATTCGAACTACCTAGCCCGTGCTGTGCGTAGCCACGGGCAAGTAGTTCGAACTATGGGGCATCTAAAAATGGCGTCGCCTGGGAACATGCAAATGAAGCCCGAGATATTTAAATCCCGGGCTTCATTTGCAAGTTCGAATGACTACATTAGCCACCCTAGTTCGAACTAGGATGGCAGTGTAGCCATACCCAGACTCCAGACCAACATGAAAGAGATAGACTCTCTCCACTCCAGGGTTCTGACTGATGGGGTGAGTTCATTAGCTGGAGGGAGTAAGGAAGGCAGCCTCTCCTTTGATGCCACACAACACCTTTTTTGTCATGTTGTACATAAAGACAAGACCTTGACTTAAATTAATGCTTCTTTTCCTGTTAGGTGAGTTACACGGCAAGAGGTTTACTAAGCAAGCACTCGAAATAGCTTTGCACTAGTGGTCTCCAACCTTTTAACACCCAAGAGCACTTTACATTTCAGGATAATTCAGGATCTACCCTGCCCCTTCCCCAGGCTCCTTCCCCAAAGACCCACCCACTGCATTCCCCCCTCTTTTTCTCTGTCACTTGCTCTCCTCTACCCTCACACACTTGCACTGCACTGGGGTAGGGGGGCAGGTTCTAGGCTAGGGCCAAGGGGTTGGGTGCAGGAGAGGGTGAGGGGTGCAAGCTCTGGGAGGGAATTTGGGTGCAGGAGGAGACTCCAGGCTAGGTCAGAGTGTTAGGGTGCAGGAGGGGGTGCTGGTCCTGGGAGGAGGGTCATAATTGAGGCAGGGAAGGAGGAGGAGGTATTGGGTCTGGGAGAAGGTTCCAGGCAGAGCAGCATGTCAGAGTGCAGAAGGGGGGGGGGGTGGCTCCAGGAGGGAGCTCCAAGTTGGAGCACAGATTTGGGTTGAGAGGTGCAGGCTCCAGCCAGGAGGCACTTCGCAAAGGCAGCTCCCAGCTGGCAGTACAGCAGGGCTCAAACAGGTTGTCTGCTTGCCGTGGTTCCATGCTGATCCCAGAAGCAGCTGCATGCCAATTTGTCTCTGTGCTCTCCTGGGAGGTGGGGGGACATACATGTCTCCGTGTGCTGCCCCAGCCGTGTCCTCAAAGCTCCCATTGGCCAGAATCCAACCAATGGGAGCTGCAGGCATGGGCAGCTTGCAGAGGCTATGTCTACACTGCAGAGCGTTTCTGGGATTAAGGGATGTTCTTAAAATGGAGGTTCTGAAATTTTGCCCCATGTAGACGGGTCAAATTTCAGAAAAGCCACTTCCAAAAATTAGTGGAAAAAGATAAGCAAATTGTGAACTACAATTTGCGTCTCTTTTTCCAGTATAAATCTTCAGTCTGGCCATCGCCAGAGACACACTGTCCCCTTCATTCCAACAGGAGCACACCAACAAGCCTGCAGCCAGCAGGCAACCCGTCCAAGCCCTGCTGTGATGCTGGATTTTAGCAGCTTGGAGATCATAATCAGCAGCTTAGTACTCCTGCTTTACCTCATGGGCTGTAGAGGTTATGAGAAAGATCAATGCATCCTGAACAGCATCCTGCGATCATTTTATCAAGATTAAACACAAACCACATGCCTATCAACTTAACAGCTCATAGGAAGGTCAAGAATGCTAACCCTTGGGTAAGCGAGGTGGGTTTCTGGCTACGCATTTTTAAGTGCTCACTGAGTCCCAGGGCCTTGGCTTGCCCAGGATTCACTGCCAGCATCACAATGATCATTAGAAAATTTAAATACAAGTTGGACTTCCCTGGTCTGGTCCCAAACCAGAGAATTAGCAAGATCAAGGGAGGTCCTGTGCCACCAGCCCCCAAACCACAATGCTACTGGCTCACTACCACCCCAGCTGTCACCTTCCTCCTCCGCCCACCTCCACCACCACAGGCCCGGGCCAACAGACTCACCCAGCTGCTGCTGGCCTCCCAGCCCGGATGGGCTACCATAGGCCCTGGCCCCAGGTGCACTCTACCGTGGGCTCCTGCACTTGCATAGAGCTCAGGCCCCAAACCCTGGCCAGGCTGCTGGCCCTGCTGCCTCTGAGCCTGTCTAGGTTGCTGGTCCTGCTGCCATTAGGCTCACAGGCTCTCTGGTCCAGGAGCATCCATGGTTCTATCAGACTACAGATGTTGCTGAACCAGGTAGTGCTGGTTTTTGGAGGTGCAACCTGTAATCCCAGAAGGACACCAGTCAAGGAGCAGTGAGTGAGAGAAATGCAACGGATAAAGACCACCCAACAGCTATAAAACAAGGAAACAAGTGTATAGTCTCCACTCCACCTACATATGGTCACTGTGTGATCACCTCCATGAGTCTGATTGATTAGAAGGCGGGCTCTTCTTCACTAGAGGACTGGAAGGAAATCCCAACTCTGCTCAGAAATGCCACGTCCAACGAACACATCCGCTCTTCTGAAACATTTTTCGGGAAAGCGGGCGTGCTCTTTCACCATCCCTGTAAAGTTCATTTTATGAGGCCTAAGGGATGCATCAAAAGAGTGGGTTTGTCTGAAATTTGGTGCCGTGTAGAAGCGTCAAATTTCAGAAAAGCCTCTTTCAAAAGAAAAGTGGGAAAAGACACACACATTGCAGTTCGCAATTTGCATATTGTTAAAGCAAACACTCCTCTCTGGTTTGGCAGCTAATGAACAGCTTTATTGATCAATAAGGGAATTCTCCATCCCCAGAGAAGGGCGTCTCCAGCTGGGTGGTGCGGAGATTTAAATAGCCGTCCTCATTGTGTCTTGTCTAGAGATTTCTCCATCCTCACTGAAATCTGTCTTCTCTTCAAAGATGGCCCGCAGTGCGACCAGGAGACAGCCTCTGAGTCGGTACTGCCTGTAGCTCCCAACAACAAAGTAAATAACTGGGTTGATGCAGCTGTTGATAGAGGCCAGTAGGTAAGAGAACTCATTAGTGAGACTATGCTCAATAAGGTCGAGGAAATATTGCACACTGAGGGGAACAGCAAAGACGAGGAAGAAGAAGACGGTGAGCAGGATAACGACATAGAGCTTTCCTGGGTGGCGGAACTGGAGGCTACGTCGGAGCTTGATAAACAGGACCAGACTGGACACCACCATGATGGGAGCAAAAATGAGGCAATTCAGACCGTACACGGGTAGGAATCTGTACAAGCAATATTCTGTTCCATCCACAAGACACAAAGAATACACTATTCCTGACAGCAGGCAGGAGAGAGTCCAGAGCAGGGCACAGATGATGGCAGACAGATGCGTTGGGCGGCTGCGGCGGTGCCAGATGGGAAAGAAGACAGACACACACCTCTCCATACTGATGGCCGTCAGGAAATAAAGGCTGGTGCTGTACATGAGCAAAGACAGCACCAGAAACGTGTTCTTTAAGGTTGGCCCCCATGAAGCAACACAAAAGTGCTGTTCGGCATTAGAGGTTATAAGGAAACCAGGCAGGAAGATGAGGAAGCCAAAGTCCGCAGCAGCCAGGTTGAGGATGTAGACAGTGAAGACATTCCTCTTAATGCAGAAGCTGAGGAACCAGAGGACGATCCCGTTTCCCACCAACCCAAACAGGCAGAGGAGCAGGGTGATGCTGTCAATGGTCACAACAGTTACATCTATTGGGCATCCAGCCCAGTCGATTTCCTCGTCAGGCCCTGGGCTGGTCTCATTCTCAGTAAAATACATTTCAGTCGTCTCACTCATCACTGTGGGATGCTGGACCTTCCCGTTGGCACTCACCTGTTGGCAGAGAGCAGACAGGGACCATCAGTGAGTGGCACCCCCAGTGCTGTGTCTCACTGCTCATTCCAAGCCATCCCCAGCTTCCAGCCTTGGAACAGCCAGGTCCCAGCAAGTGGGAGGGAGAAATGTCTAAAGAGGTACTGGCCATAGGGATGCCGGGCAGAGAGAGAGACACGGAGGGAAGACTGCTGTGTACAGGCCCCATCTGGAGAGACAGACAGCCACACAGAGGGAGAGGGAGGGGAATAGAAAGAGAACACAGGAGGGACTGTCGGCCGTGTATGTGCAGAGAATGGCAGGAGGAAGAAATGTTGGTGAGAATTGAAGAGTGATGTAGAAAGAGGCAGAGAGAACAACAGAGAGAGAAATCACAAATCATTAATGATGACAAAGAGCAATCCTTTACCTTCCTTCCAGCGGCCTGATCCAAGTATTTACCGAAGCCGGGCTGGGATAGGTTTGCTTCAGAATCTCTCTGTCTCACAGGTTTCACTGTAGGATCTTCCTGGGTAATAACGTATAAAACAGCTACAAATTTTCTTGCCACTGTCTTGTGCCGCATCAAGTCCCTTCTCTGTCAGGGAAATGTCTTCTCCACCTTGGGCAGAGCGGGACTCACAGATCACACAGTGTCAGGGCATCTGATGACTCTTGGGCAGATTGATAGCATCAGCCAACTTCAGCACTGTGTTTCCTTTCTGCCTTCCTCTGGCTTCTTACGCAATAAAGGAAATGCTTGCTCAAGGTTCAGTCTCATGGGTTGAGATTCTGCAGAAAGTTTATTTTCTCTGAAAAAGGTTTTTCGTGTGTGAGGGTACAATACCCGTGTGAATGAGCATGAATATTTCATCATCATCATCTCCAACAACCATGGGTTCAACGCTCCTTGGTGCCTGATGCCTCCCTCACTATTTCCTTCCATCTTTCCCTGTCCAGTACGGAGTGGTTTCTGTAGACTAGGTCTGCACAAATCTACTATATCATCTACCCATTCTCTGTGGGGTCTGCATCTCCTATTTGGACCATCCATTATGTCGAATACCAGGGTCTTAAGTTTTTGCTCGTTGTTCATTTTGCAGATATACCCAAATAGCTGAAACTTCCATTGAATGACCTTCTGCCATAGGTTCTCTTTTGGCTGTATCTTCCTATATAATTCCTCGTTGGTGACCTTCTGCATCCATCCTATTCTCAGGATCTTTCTATAACAACTCCTCTCGAACGCCAATATCCTTCTCTTCTAATGTTTCATAGCACCTATGTCTCACATACAAAATGCTGCTAAATACACACGTTTTCAAGATGCTCAGCTTCATTCCTAAGCTAATAGCTTTACTTTTCCAGATCTTATCCATCGTCTTCAAACTCACTCTTGCTTTTGCTATTCTAGTTGCTATTTCCTTCTTACAGTCTAGATCATACATCATGTTGCTCTCCAAATACATGAACTTCTCTACGTTCTCTAGTTTGATCCCATCTACACTGCTCTTCCTTCCAATTTCCTTATCTCCAGATACCATTGTCCTCATTGTATCGATATTCATAATCAGTCCGTACCACTTCCCTTCCTCATTTAGCACCTGCACCGTTCTCGCTAGCGTCTCTTCATCTTCCTCGATTTGCATCTTCTTAATTGTTTAATTTTTTTACAGTTTTTCCAAATGGTATTTCTGGGAAACTTGAGTTGTGACTTTTGTGACTTGATGATAGGAAATCTTATGCCCAGGCACAGCCTGGGGGCGAGCCGCACAGGCCACTGGGGCTCTCTGGGCCCAGTCTGGGGCTAAGGGAAGATTGGCCTGGGTCTGGAGGAGCCAGAGGGCAGCCCAGAACCAGAAGGGGGCTCAACTCAGGGCTGAGGGACACTGTGCAGGCCTCCTACCACCACTCTCTGACTCAGGGTAGCTGGGGGCCGTGTGAGCCTCCCACTGGTGTTCCCTGGGCCTGGTTGTGGGGGACGAGGGCCACACATGCATCCCACTGGCATTCTCTGGACTCAGCCCAGGGAGAGAAGGAGTGGTCACACTGGGTGGCCTGGCAGTGCTGGTAGTGAGGTTGTCTGTGGGTCCTGGAGAGTAGGCAGTGATTGTGCTGCCTGGCTGCAGTGGTGCTGCTGGGGGGGCCGTGGTGGGAAGACTGGGGGGACTTCCTTCCCCTCTCCTGTGCTAGGACTGAGGGCCAGAAAGGAGAAGTTTGGAGAAGGGGGGCTGCTTATCTGGGATGGTGGCAGGCAACATAGTGAGCCCCATCCCCACTTCCTGGGTAGTGTGACTGCCCCAATGGTCACTCTCTGTTGTACAGCTCTCCCCTGCACTCACTGCCCTAGAGGTGACTGTGAGTATCGCATTCCTCCTCTCAGTGCCCCAATTCCAGGCACATCCCATTTTTCTGGCACAACCAAACCGTGATCTTGCTTTAAGTTAGGAGACGAGGAAGCTACATTCCAAATTTGGTTGCCCTAGCTCTTGCCGTTGAGGAGGAGTTCTTGGAGAAATGGACTCGCAGACAGACAGATGCACCAATCTCTAATATATAAATACCAAGTTTTTACATGTGATCATTAGAAAATGTAAATAATCCTAGAAGAAGCCAAAGATCCCTCCAAGAATGAGGGAAATGCAGTGGGTATAAGAGAAGGAAACAGGCATAGAATCCTCTTGTGATGAGTTCTTGTGGTTCAACATGGAACTGGGGTGTCACTGAGCTCTCTGTCCCAGCAACCTGGGCGCTCTCTCACCCTGTGATGCTGTGACAATCTGCAAATAGTGACTTTATTATATTAGCCCACAGCATGAGAACTGAAGAGTAGGGCGGGGTGGGGGAGGTGTTCTAAAGAAAGAAACACCTCTAAATATAGCTACAGCTAAACAAAAAATACACTTTGTCCAAATCAGCATTAAGTCTGAGCTTTACAAAATGTAAATAATCCCAGAGGACACAAATAAAGGAGCAGTAAAGGGGGGAACATGACAAATAGACATTACCCACCTGCTACAAAAGAAGGAATCAAGTGTGTACCCGCCACTGCATGTGCACATGGGTTGCTTTCACTGCCTTTCTTCCATCGTTATTCAAAAGAACAAAATGTTTTCTAATGGTGGTATTTACAATGGGAGTTTCCAGCTACAACCTGCAACAAAACTCTTCCACGTGCCAGTTTAATGCTTTAATACAGAGAAGGGATTTAAATAAAAATTTATCCTTGGGCCTGACACACGCCTCATCGTACTTCATTGTGCATTTAATAGAGTTCATGGAAGGAGACTGGATTACAATGTGGCTGAGTTGGTGCTTTATGTGAACGTCATGTTGGTACTGCTCTTGCATCAACAGTGAAAGACGGAACAAGCAGCAACCAGGATGGAGGCCTAATCCAGGATACTGTGGGAAGACTGCAAGTGACTACAGGGCTAAATGAAAGTTAAACCAAACTTGACACCTTTCCTTTGGACACAGATACTAGTGCTTACAGCTTGGGGAGGCAGTGACACAAGAACAGAAAGCAGGAGTGTGGAACCTATGGCAGAGAGGCCAAATCCAGCCCCTGGCTTGCCTGGATCTGGCCCCTGAGGATAGGGGCTCCTCGCCCAGCATCAAGGAGCTGGTTCTCCAGCCCTGTGACTCTCCTCGCATCCAGACTCCATGCCCCTATTCTGCTCTTGCACCCTACCTCGCACCCAGCCCCACCAACCTCCAACCCACTCCTGCATTCTCCCTCCTGCCCAGACCCCACATCTCAAGATTGCTTCCAAACACTGAACTCTTCATTTTTGGCCCAACCCCAGAGCATAGGTGGGACCACGAAATCTACTAGCCGTCCTCCCAGGTTTGATGTGTGGGGAGTGTCTTTCTCCTTCTCAAGCTTCAGCAGGGGAGCTGAGTTAGCCTGTAACTGGCAAAACTTACAAAAACAACGACTAGTGTCCTTCTCAAGCTTCAGCAGGGGAGCTGAGTTACCCTGTTACTGGCAAAACTTACAAAAACGACGACTAGTGTTGCAGCACTGTAAAGACTAACAAAACATGTAGATGGTATCATGAACTTTTGTGCGAACAACCCACTTCTTCAGATGAAGAAGTGAGCTGTGCCCACAAAAGCTCATGATACAATCTACATGTTTCATTTTCTCTGGGGTGCTGCAAGACTATTCGTTGTTTTTGTAAGTTTCTCCTTATGAGCTGGGTGGGGGGGTTCTTCTCACCTTTGTGTGGCCCCCAACTGATTTCAAAAAAAGTTCCCCACCACTGACATAAGGGGTCTGAAAAGAGAATGACTAATTTTAATAAAAGTAAAAGCTATCCTGAGAGAAATTACCTAAGCAGCCCCCCTGCAGTGGTTAAATCTTTGGAGCATTTTCACACCGTGGTCAGGACAGACCACATAGCTCTGCAAGGTCTCTTTGGTTTCAAACTGGGCTAGAAAACTTGTAATGCTGTGATTTCACAGTTACACCGAAGCCTGGCAGAAAACATAGCAATGCTAATGTCTTACCCAGATGGCCTTGTTGGAGTGACTAATTATCAACACTCCCCTAAATAGCATTACAAAGAATTGGTTACTCGGAGCGGAGGGGTGACTGTGCTCAGGACGAGAGAGTCGTATCCTCTCTTCCCATGATTTGCAGAAGTGAAAATGCTGATTGTTTCATTTACTGGAACAGAGGACATCAGGTTGCAGGAGCACATCCACATCACAATGTTGCACTAAAAGCCTGCAAGTCGCAGTGAGGATGCTTAGAATTTAAAGATGAAATATTATAGGGGGTGGTGCAAATGAGCAAGTGATACATACAGGTATCCACAAATTCTAGCAGAAACACTGAAAGGGAAGGTACTCCTAGGGTACGTCTAAACTACATGGCTCCGTCGACGGAGCCATGTAGATTTGTTTGTTTGGCAAAGGGAAATGAAGCCGCGATTTAAATAATCGCGGCTTCATTTAAATTTACATGGCTGCCGCGCTGAGCCGACAAACAGCTAATCAGCTGTTTGTCGGCTCAGCGCGGCAGCCATGTAAATGTAAATGAAGCCGCGATTATTTAAATCGCGGCTTCATTTCCCTTTGCCGATCAACCTAATCTCCATGGCTCCATCGATGGAGCCATCTAGTTTAGACACACCTAGTTTTAAAACTGATGGATATTGTGGGGTTTGCAAAAATCGCAGCCACTTTAAGGGCTTGTCTATACTTACCAGAGGATTGACAGGGATTTAGTGGGTCTAGTAAAGTCTCACTAAATCAAATACTGAGGATGCCCTCATCGACCATGGTACAGCTTGTAGTCATGAGGATTAAAGGAAGTCAACAGCATAGTTTCTCCCATCAACCTACCACTGTGGGGAGGCCTCAGAAAATCCATGTAAGGTACGTCGACTCCAGCTATATAGTTGTCATGGCTAGAATTGTGTAGCTGACGTCAATTTCTTCTGCCAGTGTAGACCTTGCCTCAGAGACAGTTCCTGCAGGCAGGATGTATGAAACTGGTGCTAGAAGGGTGATGTTTACACTGAAGAGAAGGGTACATTTTAGACTGGGAGCAGCCCTTTACAGCTCTTTTAACGAGGGTCCCTGTGAAGTGCATCGGTGTTGAGGTGCTGGATCCTTAACCTGAGGCAGAGACTGGCCAGCAATAATTGTTGGTAACTGTGGACTATTAACCGTACAAAGTGGCCTGAGGTTTATCCAATAAGAAATCAAGAGGCTGTGATAGTAGCTGGAGTCCTAGTGAATGAATTCTTCACTAGATTTGGGGTCCTGTGTGAGGAGACTCACCCACAGCAATTCAGACCCCCAGGGCACAAATCAGTGGTCCTACAGCTCCCCTCCCTCAGCCAGGGCCACAAGTCCCCTCCCCCGCAGAGAAACCCCCGAACTCTTCCTGCCAGAAAAGCCCTATCCCCTCCCTTCCTTCCCTCCCCCAAACCCAAGTTATGAAAGCTGCAACAGCATCTCATGATTCAAAGATGCTTTTGATATGCCCCTTGCAGGTCCGGGGGCCAAGTATCCCCACCTCAGAACCTGCATGGGGCATATCAAGAGTGTCTTTCAGTCAATTTTCTGTGATTCTAAGGATCCACCAAACCTGAATCACCCCAGGCTACCCTCAATCCAATGGGATTACAGAAAGTTTTCGTATGATACCAGGGGTTCTGCTGACCACCTCTTTAATACAGCACCAAAGAGACTTTTGATGGCTCCTAGATAGGCTTGGCAAACTTTAAATTGGATAATGTTGATGGATAATGCTGATGTTTGTTTTGAAGCATGTTTTAATTGTTATTGATTTAAATTTTCACAGCCATGTAAAATTATGGGAGGTGTCAGGAAATGGGAGGGGTCGGTCACTTTCTTATTGAGATTAGATACTGGGATTCGGAAAGGTAGTTTTATAACGCTCAAAACAGAAATTGTCAATACTTCATCAAAATATACCACAGCCTTACCTCAAACTCTAATAAATTCGCAAGCAGCGTGTTTTTTATTTTTGCCAATCTGTACATTGCAAGCATTGGAATAAATCAGATATTTCCACTGAGTTGATGGAGTGGCCCCAAAATAGCTGGAACAAACCAGTGAATCTTGCTTCATATGGGGTAGGATCAAACTCTGTCCAAGAAGAGTATCTCACTGGTTTACTTACCAGATCTGTCCTTTGGATGAATCTCGCAGCTCAATGTAAACCTGGGCATTTAAAAGATGAGTTACACAAGTTTTATGTTGATACAATATGGGTATATCTAGACTACAGGGTTTTGTCAACAAAAGTGGACTTTTGTCAACAAAAGTGGACTTTTGTCGACAAAACTATACCTGTGTCTACACACATAACATCGACAGAACTCAGCAGTTTTGTCAACGGCTGTAAACCTCATTCTATGAGGAATAACACCTTTTGTCAACAGAGTTCTGTCGACAGAAGGTGTTTTTGCATGTACACTGTCCTTTGCGTCTACACTGTCATGTCGACAAAGCAGCTTGCTGTGTCGACAGAACTGGATGTAGTCTAGACACTCCTTGTTTACAGAAGCTTTGTCGACAGTATCTGTCAACAAAACTTCTGTCGACAAAAGTCTAGACATACCCTATGTGTATTTATTACTACCATGTCATGTTAGTAGTCTCATCATTGCTGCTGTTCAGATTTTTAATTTGATGAAATTTAATGGCAAGAATGATAGTCAAGTTTTTAATCTGGGCATTTCATCATCTGGCAACATGACAAACAGCATAGGCTTTTGAAACTCTTTCACACATGAGAGAATTACCAAACTTCAGAGCATTTCTGCAGGGCTTCTAGCGCTACATCACTGCCACAGAACATGTTGTATAAATGTGAACATACCACTTGGCTAAGGTAGATAAGTCCTGCATTTTTCAAGATGATAAAGCCGGGTGGAGAAACTACAGTCCATGGGCTTCATCCAGCCCGTTGGAACCTTGCATCTGTCCCTGAAGCTCCTGTATAAGTGTGGGGTCAGGAGCTTACCCTGGTCCACCTGTCACTAATTTGCCCCTGGGAAGAAGTCAGACTAAAAGGTTTGCCCACCACTGGAATAAAGACAAACAAGTTTTTAAATCTGAGAATTGGGAAGAGGCCGTCTAACCTATTCTTGCACCACAGCTCTCTGAAGCCTTTCTCTGCCCTTCTCCGTAGCTCAAACCCTGAGCCCTAGTTGAGGAGGTTTGGGGGCTTGCTCCTCTCAGGAGCAGCAGCAATCGTACTGTTGACCTAACCATGTGTTTTCTTTCTCTAGACCTCTTTCTGTGCCAGCTGATTGGCTCAGAGCCAACAGAGCAGCCTGCAATCCATCCCATAGCTCCCCCTGGGCAAGGTAGGGCAGGAGAGCATTCATATTCTCCAGTGATGGATGGACTGGCAGCAGGGAGTCAGGGGTGAGATTTCCTCACATTCATCTCACCAACCAGAGTTCTAAGACCAACACCCCTCTCTGCCCAAATTCATATCCCAAAAGCTTCAGGGGGGTACCTGAGTTAGTCTGGAACGAGGTGTACAGCTAGTTCGGATTAGGAAGCCTAATCCGAACTGGGAGGCAAAGGGGGGCGCGAAGGGGGGCGGGGCGGTGACGTACACAGCCAGGCCCCACCCCCTGGCCATGTAGGTCACCGCCCCTCCCCCTTCCTCTCCTGCCATGGTGCTTGGCTGACTTCTGTGCCACTCAGCTGGGCCACCGCAGGGGAGCAAGCGGCCGTTTGGGCCCTGCGCTCCCCATGCAGCACAGGGGTGCTGTATGGGGACGGCGGCACCCACAGAGCTGCTTGTGCCGCTTGCTCCCAGCAGCAGCCCAGCTAAGCGGCGCAGAAATCAACCAAGAGGCATGGCGGGAGGCGAAGAACGTGACTCAGGCAACAGCGCCGCCCAGAGGGAACAGCCAGCATTTCAGCGTTACAGAGTCACAGACATTGGGCTACTATATAGATGATTATAATGATCCTAATTAACACTAAATCAGGCAATCAGTGAGGTTGTTTAACTATATTGATCATTATATGTCTTACTTCTTTTAGAACAGTTTGTATTTTGGGGGTCCTGATGTGTTTGGGCAAATACAGTAAAGTAACCATTCCATGATCAATATCTGTATATTATTTTCTCTGCTATCCACCCAGTAAAAATGCCTTTTTTCAATCTCTCTTTCTAGTTCATAGGTTCCCAAACTGGGGGAG